TGTGTGCTTGTGTGTGAGTGTGTATATGTATGTGTGTGTTTATAAGTGTGTATGTGTGCTGGTGTGTTTGTGTTTCTGTGTGTGCATCATCTTCTCTCATCAACCGCTGGCATTGTTTTTAAAAAAATAATAAAATTAAAATTAAAATAAAAACCTAGAGCACAACGCTTTATCGAAATCCGCTCTTCGCGGCTAGTCAGCATTATTTATTCGTTGATGGAAGGTGAGTCAGCATTATTTATTCGTTGATGGAAGGTGAGAAGCAGCATAGTTCGGCTTTATTGCACCTAAAAAGCATAGTAGGCCTACTTTTGTCGGCGTTTCTCCCCTGCTCTACGGAAGATTTGGTCAGGCCATAAGTGTGTCATCATAGGGAAATCAAGCTCTCATCAATGTGATGAAGTTGAAGAAATAAGACCCCGGGGGGGGGGGGGGCATTGTTTTTACTGAATTGTCATTTTTCCTCTACTTCTTTTGTATGTTTATCATTCTCTTGTGAACTGCTATTTCCCGAGTGCCTTGATAGTCGAAGCAGACTCTGTGCTGTTGAGGCTAGAGAGCTAAGCAGAGTAGCTTGATTCCCCTTTTGGACTTCTCTGTTGACATCCACCCCTTGGCGTTCATATGACCCTATGCACTTGTGAGCGCCCGCCGTAAAACCTTACTAAAACTAGATTAAAGGCACAAAAAGTAAACGTGTAAGTTTGCAGTTTTCAGGGACTCTGAAGCTTTGGAGGTCATCAAACGTTGGCGGCTATCTTCTAGCGAATTGTACCTATGCCACTATATGACCCCAACTCCTTTAATCACGAATGTCTCGATTTCTGTTCAAGAAAGATTGTGTAGCTGTTGTCGATGTTGTTTGTTTCCTATCTAAAAAGAAAAATCCAAAGCAAGGCAAATTAACAGACTGTTAGATTACATCAAAGACTCCATTCACCCCAAAATTGACGAGCTCTGATTCCACCGTGTGATGACACAAGAATCAATCCCAGCCGAAGTAGTGGATAGACTAGGGTATAGCTGCTTGACGTTCGCCAGCTGGAGGGTATTTTTAGAGTCAAAACCGAGCGGGGACGATTTTTTCTCCTGTTCTTATTTATAGTGTGCCTATAGAAACATTGCGGTTGGGCGGGGTGGGGTGGGGGTGGGGTTCTTTTAAGTTTGTTTCTCTAGGGGGAGGGGGTGTAGTTTGTTTATTGCTGATTCTTGTTGTTATTTGTGTTGTTTTGTTCTTATTGATTTCTTTCGTTTTAAGGCCTATTTGTTGCTATTGTTTGTTTTTGGTTTGTTTGGTTTGTTTGTTTGGTTTTTTTTGGTTCGGTTTTGTATGTCTTATATTGTTTTTCCGTGGGAGGGGGGGGTGGCGTTTTTTGTGTTTTTTTCCCGACAGACGGATGAAATGTTACAGTACGATCATTGACGGCTCGTGGGTCTAAAAAGTGGGCGTGCACAAGCTATCTTAGGTTGAAGATAGTCAAGGGCATAGTAAATGAGATGGTAATTAATTTTAGGATCTTTGGGTTGGTGAGGGAGAACCTTGTGATTCTATTTTCATTCTTTTTACTTGTGGCTTTGACTTCTAGAACTAAACATGTTTGTTAGCTAAACGTCAATTTCATTCATCCTGCTTTAAAACTGAACACTCAAGTAATACCTTTCACCACTCCATTACAAAACCGTTCAGAAGCACATCTCATAGGACGATGACTTACGTATGTCACGTTCACCTCCCTCAGGTTCACGGTCACAGAGTCACTTAAAATAGCGGCAAGACAATGAACCAATCACAATTCAACTGAGCACTCCGCTGGATTG